TTTTTTTTTGTGCCTGACTGTTTACAGTTCTCCCTTACGTAGATAAAAAAAGGCATTTTTTTCAAAAAAAAAAATACTGCGTTATCAGTGACAGACTTAGGATGTGAGGAAGTCTGGTCATTTATTTTCTTTTGATGAAAAGGAGGAGGGCCGATATCAAAATGTGTTTTAAGCTTTTGCTGAATTGTTAATAATCATTTTTGACAAAACACGTTCTTTTGCAAAAAAACTATTCTATCCTGCTTATTGTCTTTAAGTAACAGAATGTAGAGCTGCGGGCGCAGCTTGGTGGGACACATGCCTTGTGAGTCAGTTAGGCAAGTGATTTTTGTGGTCTGGGGGATGTGGTTTGGTGAGGCTAAGTGAGTGCATAGCTCTTGTAGTTGAGTGATATAGCGCGACTTGTGGGACTAAGTGGAAGCAATGGTACTGGATGTGAATTTACGCATTTCAAACGTATTTGCAGTGCTGCGGTTCTTCCAATGGTGACAGTGTCTCGCAAAGTCAAGGAGCCAAAACAGGTACTTCATATAATTGAAACGTGCAGGTGCTGACACTTTCCGATCAAAAAAGAGATGCAATAACAGACCGAACACAGGTGTACGAGGCATTTCTGCCTTGGGCTACTTGCATCTCATTATTGTCTATAATACAATATCTAGCTGAGCACTTCTAGTACGCTAGCTCGATTGCGTTTTTATGCGAAGCGTTTAATTCGTTTTGTAAATTGCAGCGAACCCCGGAACAATTAGCGGAACGCCAGCGTTTGCGTGAGCAAAAGCGCTTGGAAAAAGAATTAGCAAAACAGCGTGCATCAACCTCGGCTGTTGCGAAAGTCAAGAAAGAAAAGGTTTTCTTTGTTGCATAATTTTTTTTTTATCCATAACATAAAATTGGATCTGGCATCACCAGCGCAGCCATAACAACTTACTCTTTTATCTTCTCCATTTGGGCATTTGTCGCCTGTAACATTTAATTGTCTAACTAATGGTTTCGTTTCTCGTTGAAGTTGGAAGAGCTTCGAACTACTATCTTTTCGGGCATTATCATCTAGACTAGTAGTTTTTTCCGAACGCAGGGCAAGAAGAGAGAGGTCGTCTTTTCCGACTTAGCGTGATGCCGTATTAATTGTTTGGGAAGCAAGTATGTGAAAAATTTACGGACACTAAGCTGAGTCAAATAAATAGATCCAAACTTTGTTTTTAGAAGATATAGAAAAGATAAAAGGTCTTGTTTTACTGAAAGTAAAGTTTCAACAAAAGTGCAAAATTTAGTGAAGTGGCACTAATGCCCGCTCAAGGATATACGTGAGACAGAAATGCGAGTTCTGCGCTAAACTACAAAAAAAGTGCCACGCTTAAACAGGAGAGTGGGTAAAACAACGATATGGCGGTGTTTGATTGGAAACATGCATGGTCGCATTGCGTTCATAATTTGCTTATAGATGTTTTGTTGGGCAGCTTTTAGCACCTTTTTTACCGACGTAAAAAATGCTGAGATCAACGTATTGCAGAAACCGAAAGAAGTCATCAAAGAGTCTGCGCCAAAAAAAATACTAGCCGAGCAGAAAACTGGCCCAAAAAAGGCAGGCCTCTCGGCGCCAGTTATTGAAAGCAAAGGAGTGGCCAAAGCAAAGCAGATGAAGGTAGATTATTTTGATTTTTGTGTAAATTCTGTCAAAATTATGGTGCGTGGTTGCACAGATCTCTCTTGCTGATTATTTGCACTGCTTTCAGGCGGAGCAAGTAGAGTCAGGTCAGCAGCAGCAGAAGGCAGTTAAGAAAGTTAACGAGCCGAAGAAAGTGAATAAGCAGAAGAAAGAGAATATCACTGCGAAAGGTGTTGAGGCAATGAAGGCGGTGTCGCCATTACTTAGCCAGAACACTCAGTTATCGAAGACGGGCGTCGACGAAGCAAGTGCTCCACCGACAATGGCGAAAACTGGGGAAAAAATATCAGAATGTTCTTTGGAAAGTGTCGGAAAGCTGGCCTCACTATTGCGCAGCGAAATTACTCAGTCTTCTCAAGAAAGCGTGGAGACACGAAGTATCCCTTCAAAGACCAAAGGGAAAGCCGTTAAAAAATCCGCCGGTGGCGCCGACAAGGCCAAGTTGACTTCGCCTAGGGGGAGTGAGTCCACGCAGTCGTCTACAGCGGATCGGAACAAACAAAGTGTGCCATCAACTCCAGAGAAAAGCAAAGAAAAGTCGTCGAAAGATTCTCCGCGAAGTGCTAAAAAACTCGTGGCAGTATCTCCTTTGCAGCAGAGTGAAACTACTCAGTCTTCCAAGAAAAGCGAAGGCAAACGAAGCGAATCGTCGATGCATGCAAAAAGTGAAGAACATGTTACATCTGAATACTCTGTGGAGTTGGAGGAATCGTCGACGATAACTATTTCGGAGAGAGACCATGCTGTCTTGCCTACGGCAGACAGTGGGTTTCCAGCCCCAGCAAAAACCGGAGGAAAATCAGCCGGCTATGCTGTATCTGCGGCAATGTTACCTCTTCAGGACACGCATATTCAGCCATCCACGAGACGCAGTGATAAACAAAAAGTTTCTTCAAAATCAGCAAGTATTGAGAAAGAACCTTCGGAATATCCTTTGGCAGCCACCGATGAAACTCAGCACGGTACGCCATCAACACCGTCGAAGACTGAAGGAAAATCGGAACATTCTCTGCCCGTAGCGATGCCAAAATTGCACAGCGAATACACGCAGTCGTCCACCAAAAGTGAAAGCACTGTCCCAAATATACCAGTGACTGAAATGGAAACCTCGGAGTATTCTCTGCAGAATGATGAGGAAACCGTACTAATATCGTCTCCTCTGGACAGTCATGACGAGTTTTCTGTAACTGGTACTGACCGAGGAAGCGCGGAAAGCAAAATATCGGAGTGTGCTCCACGGTCTGCAGCATCACCGTTGCAAAGTCAAATTGTCCAGCCATCCTTCAAGAGCGGAAGGGACCACGGCACGCCTTCATTACCTGCTAAAACTGAAAGAAAAGTCGCAGAAAAAGGCTTGCTCGCAGCGACGTCACCTCTGGAGATTGAGCGTACCCAGTCAGTTAAGACGGATCAGGGCAATCGTAGCGTACAAGAAATGCCCACACAGGACGAGGAGAGTGTGTCTGAATATGCTCTGGACTTTGAAACAACGGACACGACTCCTTTGGCCAGTGAATATACTCAGTCCCCAGCGATGGTGAAAAACAGCCAAAACTTGCATGCAGTGCCGATACAGTATGATGAGGAATCGGGCCATTTATTGCTAGCTGATTATAAACCTTTGGGCACAGCATCTTCGGTTAGTGAATTCACTCAGTCTTCAAAAACAGGCGAGAACGAAAGAAGCGCCTCTCCAGATTCGGCGAAATTTAACGAAAAGACATCGGAATACACGCTGCAGAGTCTGGATGAAACAACGGCACTGAGTTCTGTGGAGAGTGAGTACACACAATCCTCTTCTGCGACCGGGAAAAAAGAGGGGACATCTCCGACGGTGGCAGAGTTCAAAGGAAAATATCCGGAATCCTTGCTGCAAGGTTTTGAAGAAACAACGGCGATGTCATCTGTGGAAAGTGAGTACACGCAGTCATCTGAAGTAGGTGAAAACATACAAATTGAGCTTCCAACGGCAGCAAAGGTCGAAAAAACGCTGCTGCATTCTTTGCAAAACAAAACTACGATGTCGCCGCTGCAGAGTGAACTTACTCAGTCGCCCACGAAAACTGGAAGTATGCGTTCGATGCCTACACAGCGCGATGAACTTACTGAGTATTCACTGCAGAGCGAAGAGGAAACTCTGTGCTCGACACCGTTGATGAGTGATAATACTCAGTCATCTGTGGCAGGCGATAACAACCAGAATCTGCGTTTGGCACCGGCAGAAATTAAAGGAGCAGAATCGGAATATTCCATCATTAGTGAAGAAACAACAGGGCAGACACCTCTGGAAACTACTGTCTCATCTGCCGCAGACGCAAGCATCCAAAGCGCACGCTTAATGCCTACGCAAAGTAGTGAACATACAACGGAGTACACATTGGGAACTGATGAGGAATCAGTAGGTCTAACACCTCTGGATAGCGATTACACTGAATCATCAGTCACAGACGTAACCAACAAAAGCATGCGTTCAATGCCCACGCAACGCAGCGGGCAGACGTCTGAGTACTCACTTGAAACGGATGAGGAAACAGTAGACTCGACAAATCTGGACAGTGAGTATACTCAGTCTTCTCTTGCAAGCGTAGGGACCAAAAGCATACGTTCAATGCCTACGCAGCCCAGCGAACAGACGTGGGAGCAAACACTAAGCTTCACATCTCTGGGCAGCGAGTGTACTCAACCATCTGTTACTGGCGCAGACGAGCATGACGTACGTTCAATGCCTACACAGCCAAGCGAGCGCACAGCTGACGGCTCCTTGCAAACTGACGAGGAATCAGTGGGTTTAACACCTCTGAGCAGCGAGTATACACAGCCATCTGCTGCAGACGGTCAAAGTGTGCGCTTAATGCCAACGCAGCGCAGCGAACCTGCTTCTGAGTATTCGTTCAAGGCCGATGAGGAGGCGGTAGTCTCGAAACTCTTGGTCAGCGACCGTACTCAGCAGTCTGATGTAAACAGTCAGCCTGTATCTCCAATGCCTACACTTCGTAGGAAACAGACACCAGATTATTCATTAAGAACTGACGAGGAAACACTGGACACAACACCACTGGATAGCGAATGTACTCAGCCGTCTGTTGTAGACGTAGATAGTCAGAGCGTACATGCAGTGTCTACGCAGCGCAGCAAACAGGCATTGGGATACCCAGATCACACTGATGAAAAAGTAGTGAGTCCACTTGGTAGCGACCATACTCAACCATCCGTTACAGGCGCTGATAATCAAAGTATGCGTTCAATGCCTACACAGCATAGTGAACAAACGACTGAGTATTCATTTTATACTGAAGAGGAGTCAGTGGGCACAACTCCTCTAGACAGCGAATATACTCAGTCTTCTGTTGCGGGCGCGGACAACCAAACCTCATTCCAGACTGATGAGGAATCACTGGGCACAACACCCTTATATACCGAGTATACCCTGTCGTCTTCGGTAAGCGAAATTAAAAGCAACGTACCTTCAGTGCCAGCGAAATTTGAGGAAGAAACATCTGAATATTCGCTGCTGAACGGCGATGGGGCAACGATACTAAATCTACAGAGCGAACGCACTCAGTCAACAACGGGTGTTGAAGATAACGAGCGTAGTACCATCGGTACGCCTGTTGAGAAAACGCAGCTCTCCACTGATGTTGGAGGTGGCGAAAGCGCCCCTTTGAACAAACTTATTGGTCCTCCAACGCTTGTTGAACGTACGCCATCGGATACTGAAGACAGCCGAAGTGCCGCTTCGACGCTTGTTGAGCACACTCAATCATCCATAAGCAGTGAACACAAACGAAGTGCTCCTCAGACACCGGTAGCAGCCGGAGAAGAAAATTCAGGACATACGGTATCGACGGCTGCACCACCATCGCAAACTGGGTTTACTCGATTATCCACTTCGCCCGGCAACAAGCCAGATGCTTTTTCCGCGCCAGAAATGGCTGAAGAAACGTCGGAATATTATGGCGAAGAAACCGAGATGCTGACATCCCCAGTAAGTGATTATAGTGAGGAGACCGTAACGCTTATGGATCAGCGGGGCGATCGGCTTACATCGCCCATGGCTACTGGGGGAGAAATATCAGAGTATGCTGCCGCGCCGAGGACTCACTTTTCTCCACCAGCAGCGATATCACCTTTGGACAGCGAGTTCACCCAGTACTCGATGACAGGCGGAGACGTACGAAGCACGCCGCTAACACCGCCCAGGACAGAGGCGCAAATACATGACTATTCTGAACGAAGTGATGTATCATTTGGCTCATCTTTGCCGAGTGTATATGCACATTCATCGAAGACACGCGGTGACGAGCGAAAGTACTCTCCAACGTCACCAGAAACTGAAAGTTCATCGGAATATACGATACCAACGGCGGCGGAATGTTCTGTGTCTACGGCGATGGATTTATCGGTGTCCACTGCGACAGATTTATCGGTATCCACTGCGGCGGACTTTTCTGTATTCACGGCGGCTTCTTATTTGCCTAGTGAGAGTACTCAGCTTTCCGGAGCAAGCCAGGAAACGTTTTCAATGACTGAAGCAGAAATATCGGATTATCATCTGCCTTCAGCTACAGCAACAGAGTGTTCTGTGCCTACGGCGGCATCGCCTTCACTGACCGACTCTACACAGAGATCCACGATTATGACAGATGAGAGCCAGCTAAGTGCTGTTCCAGAGCCAGAACCTGTCAAAGAGGACGCAGCGTTGGCACCCGAAAAGGTTTCCGTTTTAAAAAATCGAAAACCATCGCAAGCAGTAGATATTTTGGTGTCTGTTTCAGAATCTGCATTACATTCCACCATGGCAGCTCTGACCTGTGCCACACTTGGTCATATTCATGTGAAGCAGTAGAGAAGCCCGTTTGCAAAGTGGTACTTCGCGAAAAACTGGCCCGGTACTCGCGTCATTTATTCCAGCGAGGGCGGCTTATGGTGACCCAAGCCGCATGAATGAAGATGTCTTTCTTCACTCCGTGAGAGAACATGTTTTCTCACCAGAAAACCCCGAAACTGGCATGTCATTCGAAACGAAATGAATTAGTCCCACCACGTTACTTAGTTAAAATGCATACGTTAATAGGTGTTTCACAAGTCATTATCTTATGTTGTCTAGGCAGCAAAAGCAGATGGACAAGGCCTGGCTAGTGCCGATACTGGACTAGCTGAAGGTGCAGGTAAAAAGCATAAGAAAAAACGAAATCGACGGCCAGGTGCAGAAAATCGCTTGTCGGCAACAGATCTTGTTGAAGTAAGTATTCTACTCCATTCATGCAGTTTCATTCGGATCACTTATGCAGGGATGCATAAGTTTGTCAAAATAATTCGAGAATCAGGAAGCTGAGAGACAAAAATTCAGAAATTCAGTTTTCAGGCCGCTTTTTTCTTGACGTTATGATGTAAGGCTAATCAGGCTTTAAAAACGTGAGGAAGCCGTTTGCGTAGTAATTCACCAAATAATTTTGAACGAATAACTTAAAGCCATACTCCTCCACACTGTCCCGAATTATACAGGTGGAATTCAAATTTCTCCAACAAATGAGCTACAGCATACTGAAAATCGTTTCTTTTTTCCTTGTTCATAGCCAGCCGCTCGGAAATTGCGCATCACCGGCGATTTCTCAGCCCACGAAGCAAATTTTTATTAGAATGATTACGACTGCAAGTTAATCTTTTGGAGACTCCAAAACAACAAATTTTAAAACTAGAGTTACGCGGAGATACACTGGGAGAAGAACTAAGTGAGACCTTGCTGGGGGAAATTTTGCACAATTCTAATCAAAAGTGGGTCTTGCACATTTAATTGCAGAGCCGGGCAGATTGGTTATCGCTGAAACAGGACTGTAAATGTAACATGCCTTTATATTTCCGAGTCTGAATTAACTTTTTAGTCATTTTATTTTGAAAACTTGACTTTGCAGCAGATACATGGTTTACATTTGCATAAATGCATTTTGTTACAATTCTATATGAAAATGAGCCGATAAGTCGTGTAATATACAGGGAGACACTCATGACGCGGATGAAAGCCAAGTTGACTCTGGATTTACGGAAGTAGTTAGCGGGCGAAAGCACAAAAAGAAGCGGCATGTGGCGGGCGAGCAAACTAAACAAGAAGAGGCATCTGAAGAGGTTTGGTATCCCTATCACTATGTTTTATGTAGGATCTTGATATTCGCAGTCTGCAAATTTATCGAGAATAATTTTTTGGGGAGTGCAGCTTCTAACGGAAGGATCGCTGAGGTAATAATTAAGCGACTTAAGTGCTATAGTATCCTCTTAATTTTTTTCCCTCAGACGCCGAAAGTGACTCGCTCGTTAAGCTTTTGGGATGTTTGAAAAATTACTGTTTTTCCATGATTTTCTGCTTTTCATTGCGTAAATTGATTTTTATGGTATGTTGCATTGCCAGTGAGCAGTTTACCATGAGTTCAGCCACTTTCTGACAAATGCACTGGACGCAAATGAATTTTTTTAATCTTCAGGTTTAGTTTCCGACTCATAGCTGACTTCTACTATCAGTTACTGCGTGTTTCTGGTGGTACCCGGAATGCATTTTAAGAGTAATCATCACTTCCCGGGAATTTTCATATCTCTAGGCCTCCTGCTGCAGATGCTCAAAAAAAAAGAACATATTCTGGGAGCTTTTCTGATCGAAATTGCTTCGTTGATGTTCAGATCAAATTGTGCTTGTCAGCGTTTCCTCTTTCCTGATCGCTACATCCCATTCTCGCATTGAAAATTATGCAAGACTTTTTATCGCTCAATCCATTACTCTGCGACGTTGCATTGCTTACGAATAATTGAGGTGAAATAAATATAACTGATTTTAAGGTAGCTGCAGCTTTGTCACTGAGTTTTATGCCCGCTTTCTTGGGTCGCTGCACGGTTCATTAAAAAACGTGGACAAATGCCAGAGGCGGTTGTTGTGTATTAATGATTGTTTTGAGAGGGCATCAAGCTTCATAGCTACCAAAATATTTACTTTTCAGGGCGCAGGACGCGAGGAAGAGCAGGTCGTAGGAAATGAATCCACTGAAACTGATAAGGTGGGATATTTGGTGTTTCTAGTTGTTCTTGTAAATTTCTTAATTCCGAATATACGCTGCACCCTTCAACTGCTTCCGGAGAAATTTACGGAGTTAAAATTAAGATAGTTTGAATGCGTTTAAGTTGAAGGGTTATAGCCAGAACTACTGATAAGGGATATGCTAGCAGTTGTGATGTCCTAAGGAAATGTCCCCCTAAAAATATTCCGCCCCACATACCTTTTTGAAGTTTGAGAGTGGCTGGGCAGTATTGAGACATGA